AAGGTTTGAGGGGTTTCGTTCCTCGCTCGACAACGAACACGATGGTGGTTTCGGCTCGTCGATCGGAGGTCGGACGGCGAGTAGATCGGAGTTGAAAGAGGAGTTGACTGGAGAGGAAAAACTGGAAAAATTTTCAGAAACATACAAGAAATTGGGGGTTTATAACATCTCATAATTAAAAATGGTTAAACCAAGAGTTTAGCCACTGAACTTCCTGCACTTCATAAAATGGTCTGCCAACTTTAAAATTTTACAATTTAACCCACTATTTCTTTCAAAATACCAAATTAAATCCACCACTTTATAATTTCTTAATTTTAGCCCATAAATTGGGGTGTTACAATTCTCCCCTCCTTAAAAAGAATTTCGTCCTCGAAATCCATTCATGTCACATAATTACAGAAATTAAACTTCCATCAGTTTTTTCATATCTTTCATGTAGCTCTTATAGAAATACGGATCCTCCACTAATCCTTAATCAGTTGAGTATACTTTCTTATCAGAACTCTCTCTCATTTCAATAAAAGAATCCGAACGAAAATTTCATTGAGTAATCAATTCAGTCTTGGTCACGAGAATAGGCTCATAAAGTAGTAATATATCCGAATTTCATTTTCAGAGTCGAGTCAGAATTTCTCAGATGAATAACTCTCACATGGCTCATGAGATACTTTACAGCGTTTAGACAGATGTTACTGGTATTTCTTTTTATACAAGTATAGCCTTAACGGATAGAAACTTCGGTTTATTCGTTACAGATAGGGACTCAGCCCTATAGTTTCGGCTCAGAGAGGTACGATTGTAGTCTAGGGGCATGTACTGATCAGACATATTTTGACATTTGACCGACCGATCTATCTTGAAAAATTTTGACTCAAACCATAGCTCTGATACCACTAAATGTAATCCCCACAGACCGATAAAGGTAACCATATTCGATTCGGGGTGTCACATTTGGGCCACCGGAGCGACCCACTGTAAAAATAGCGAAAAATTTAAAACTTTTATTAAAACGGGTAACTTATAAAATCAGTTGTCACTATTTAAAAATAAAACTGATTTCCAGACTCGTATATAAATAAAAATACAATTACATGCCCCCTAATCACATGTACCATACTCTGCAACAACGCCGGAAGAACTCCCTTACTGAAGTCGATAGGTGCACTGATACAATTCTTTTAACCTGAAAAGGTGAATAATAGAGTGAGCTTTGGAAAGCTCAGTAATATAGAACTACCAGATGATGCTGATGAACGTGCAGATACAGATAAATATATATATTTCCTTATTGTTTCCGAACATTTACAGATTTTTATGCTGAGCAGAGATCCTACTGATATTTCAGATGGTAACGGACAATGAGCTTTCAGTTCAGAGAAATATTTCGGATGACTGAATTCAGGAGATTATAATAGGTTTTCTAATGTGTTCCCAAAAATCATGTAACTTTTTAGATCTTTTTAAAACACATATATATATATACCCCCATCCGTCAAGTCCAAAATGTGTAGGTTCCCCATAACCATACACCCACCGTCAAGTCTAGTAGGCCCTGAGCACACAGCCGAGGAGCCGGTAAGTAAGGCCCTGAGCACACAACCGAGGAGCCTCCAGGTATTCTTCCTCCAACATTAACCCCACCCAAATAAAACATGTTCTGTCCGTAAACGGATATATCAAAAATCACATCATAATTCACGTCAAGTATCATATCAAAATCCAAGTCAAGTATCATATCAAAATCCAAGTCAAGTATCAGATCAGAATCCATGTCAGATATCAAATCAGAATCCATGTCAAGTATCAGATCATAAATCAAATCGAAAATCAGGTAAAATATTCATGTGAGTAGTGAACACACCAGAATTTACAGATAGTATTCAAAGTTATTGGATAATCCTAACAAGTAGAGGAACACGGATCTTCAGTATACCAATAGAATATCGGAATTCAGAATCACTATTGGAAGAGTTCAATAACTGACGAAATCATCAATTATCCAAAATATGACTTGGCTGATAAGGAATAAATGAAGATTCAAGACATTTACAGTCTATCGATTGATTTCATTATCAAACAACTTCAGATGAATATCTCCCAGAATTAATGCTTATCGACTGGTCAATTCATTGTTATTACAGGGTATTTACATTTTAATACCACAAATTCTAGTCCATCTATAATCTTCGGAATCATCGTTGAATAAATCTTCCAATGTCTTTATTTCATGTTCACGCTTCCACTATATCATGAAATGCTGGCGTACTTGATTTGTAGTTCAAGATCCATAAGAACATTACATCATGTATGTTCATTAACGTTTCTAGACTCATCCAAATCACTACTTAATCCTTAGTCCTTGAGGTTACTTAGTTCATTTAGCATTCAAGTCTATTTTAGATACTTCGGGATTTTCCAAGGTAATCCAGACGTTTCTGAATTTCGGATACATATTGTACTTCCGTTCAATTCAATTTGGTCTTCGTGGTGATTTGTCTAACAAATATCAAATTCTTACTGTTGAATGCGATCTAGAGTTGAGCTGAGCTGAAAACTTCCAAAATTATCATCGAGCCAAACTTGAGAATACAAAAACGCATTTAAGTGACATCTATGTCGTTCAGGTACTGATATAACACTAGCATTGGTTGCTCGACTTATATGTGATCTAACTTTTAAGAGCAGTACCACATCTATGTTTATTTGGGTTCCTTAATTAATCCAAGACATTTCCTTAGTATAGGCCATAAGGGTATTTTGGTCATTTTGGTGTTCAATTTATTCTAATCATTATAGAGCTCAAGGATATCCAATCATTCCTGAGCTTGGTGATATTCTTGGGTCATTTCTATTACAGGGGTATTTTTGGTCATTTTACAGATTCAGTGAACTTTAATCCTTTCCTTCCGTCTGATCTTACTATTAAATTCAATCTTATAATTTATTTCAGTCATTTCAAACAATTCTGACAACAAAACACCCCCGACAAATTATTCTTCAGGTATTTACTAATAACTCGAATATTTCCGGGTCAAGTGTCTTCTCAGATTTTACAAACGGAATATCAGGAAATTTTCCTGCACTAAATCAGGATCTTAATAATCAAATCCGTACTTAATCGAGTTAAGTACGAATCCTCAAAGTACTTTCTTATTCAGGGTCAACTCGGACTATTTTACCTCTCATGGGCATTTTCGTAATTTCCTAACTAGATAGTTTCGATATTACCTCTTAACGAAAAATAATTATAATTTAAAGATCCTATAGTCAATTGCTTTCTTGAACACTCTCTGATCTTGAAACAATTCTCTTACAGACTTCTACTATCTTCACAAACCCTCATGGATTTAAAACCGGTATCCATTTCCAATTAACATTTCTTATGCACATCAATATTTTTTATCAGATCAATATGTTTGTAAAAACCTCTTATCCAACTTTCATATTCCAATCTTGTCTTTTTATAACACAAGGGTATTTTCGTAATTTTACCCTACCGGCGTATTCTCATAATTTCTCATCCAAATACCTTTAACATTTAACCTTTGATGAAATAAATTATAAGTTTCTTACAGATCCATGTTGATTTCTTTATCACTAAGCACATAACTTGTAATTTAATTCTAGCAATCCCTTAATTTCTTATAAAAGTCATCTGAACCATAATCAATTACTGAACCTTTTTACCGTATTCAGATCGAGCGTAGAACTTCATTAATTACACATATGAGACCAAACATTTCCATTCAAGCATTTACCAATACCAACATGTTCTATAAAGCATAAAGAGGTAGTAAAGTATTACCTCGATTTCCGAGCCATTCTGATCGACCATAAAAATTCCATTCGAACGCCCTCGATCTTGAAATTATCTTCCAATATATCCTAGGATCCATATCAATAAAAATTATATCAGAAACGGAGCTTAATTCTGAAAAACGGATCGAATCGGATGATAAGTCAGTGAAAACAGCTTACCAGGTTCGAATTTGGCGAAACAGACTTCGGATTCGGATTCAGGACGTCGAAAACATAAAATATAACTTTTCGAAATTCAAAATTTTCGGTCAAAATCAAAGTCAACGGGTGTGAATAGCAATTTCGAGGCCTTTGGGTCCGAATTTTGAGAAACGGACTGCGGAATCATATTTGGAATGTCGAAAAATGTCAGGATATGTATACTCGGTCAAAGTCAAAGGTCGTTTAATGCCCGGTCAAAGCCGGTCAAAGTTTTGGTCAACAATGGTCAACTCCGGTCAACGGTCAACAGGTCGGGTCAACGGATCGGGTCATGTCGGGTCAACGGGTCGAGTCGGGTTGTGACCGGTCACTTTTTCCTTCTCCACTCGCAATTGCGGCGCATGAACAGTGCTAAATTCCCAGAAAAATTTCTAAAAATTATTTTGAGCGATTTCGAGATACTTACAAAGCTCGGTTCACAATTTTGAACGACGGAGAGCTCGATTTCAATAAATCAGAAACTTTGACCGCTTCATCTCCTCACGCGCCGCCAAGGACGGAGACCAAGGATGACATCGACAGACTCGGAACGGAACAAAGAACACGATGGTGCGGGAGGTGTCGTAAACGGATCATCGGATCGTCGTGAATCGACGAAAAACCAATTGAAATCGTGTTATTACCGACGATACTTCTGACTGAAATTAACGACGAACAACGACGATTCACGACGAAAGGTTTGAGGGGTTTCGTTCCTCGCTCGACAACAACGAACACAATGGTGGTTTTAGCTCGTCGATCGGAGGTCGGACGGTGAGTAGATTGGAGTTGAAAGAGAGGTTGACGGGAGAGGGAAAACTGAAAAAATTTCCAGAAACATACGGGAAATTAGGAGTTTATAATATCTCATAATTAAAAATAATTAAACCAAGAGTTTAGCTACTGAACTTCCTGCACTTCATAAAACAGTCTGTCAACTTTAAAATTTTGCAATTTAACCCACTATTTCTTTCAAAATACCAAATTAAATCCACCACTTTATAATTTCTTAATTTTAGCCCATAAATTGGGGTGTTACAGTTGGGACGGACATAAGATTTTACTTTATGGAGCAATCTTAAACTTATAAAATTTTAGAGATAAACCTGAACTTATAAAATTTTAAGAGGATGAAAATATATATTTTCAATAAAAAAGTACTTAAAAAATCTAAAATATATAATAATTTTAAATTTTTAAGGAGTGATCATCCCTACCCGCCGGCGCCTTGGTCCATCCTGGTCAGCAGTAATCATTAGTGTCATGGTTGGAGAATACCGTGTGGTGGTAGTAATTTCTCTGTAAATTGATTTTCCTTGTCTTTACTTGAAAGGATCTTCATTTTCTTCAACATTGTAGCAGCAGCAGCTAAAAGAATCAACCCCGCTATCAGTGGGACTGCAACCAATGAACCGTAGTTAGAATTTCCCTAACTTGTTACCATATTGAGAAAAAAATGTTCAAATTATGAGATTGGTACTTGCTACTTTCTTAAATTTGGAATTTAATCACTGTATTTGTTTTTATCAGGGTAAGGAGAAGGGGCTGTCAAAGGTTTTCAACCAATACCTAATATCAATCAAAATTTAAGTGATGCAAATCATTTTCCACTTCACCAATGTCTTAGTAGTCGACTGATATATGTACTTCAATCCGTCATAATTTCGTATTTTTAATTTTATAACATCATTAGTTAGTTTAAACAGTTAATACCTTTAATCATTTCAATTAAAATACCAACATTGATTATCCTAAAAGAAAGTCTTTTTCTATAGGAAAAACTATTTCAACATAATGACTTGGTTTTAAATTTCGGTAGAAATAAATCAAAATGTTTATTATTTCAATTAAGAAATAACATTATGAAAATAGAATATTAAATTATGTTCAATTAAGATAAATCGATAGTGGAGGGAGCAAAACTAAAATTTGAGCGAAAAAGGAATGGTGACAAAAAGGTTACCTGAATTTAGTGCCAAGTGGAACCGGGTTCTTTTAAATTGGAATCCAAAGTCGTGAGGTCCAGGCAACCCCCAAGTGAGCCCCAGACCAAAGCTACTATCGGAAAGATAAGAAGAGTAAGCAAATGGAATGGCAACAGTTTTGATGGTCCTGCAGGAATCTGGAACCTCAACATATGATGATTTCACAGTATAAACATGATGCTCAGAGCCACTCAAGCAAGGGATTTCTGGGATTGAACTCCCAATGGGAGCTGAACAGTTCAAGTAGGTATACTTCTTAACAACATAAAAGTAATGGAATGGAGTGAGGGAAAGATCGAGGTTCAAGAAAACCTCATGCACACAGTTTCTGGGGTCGAGAAGATCGAGTTTCCTCGCATCGTAAGAAATGGATTTGACGACCAAATCGCCATAAAAAGGGAAGTGAATGATGGTGGACTTGTTTCTGCAAAAAAGCTCAAAACTTGAGTCACCATAGTGTTGGGGGTGCTGGTTTTTTAGGCTGAAAGGAGGCATGATATTGAAACCCTTTGGACCACATTTTGCAGGTGGGGAAATGGAATCTAATGCTTCTGCATCATATGGAAGGAGTAGTAATAGTATAGATAGAGAGAGGGTGAAGAAGAAAGAAGAATTCATTGTTTGCAATGGAAAATACAAAGGAAGGGATAGAGAGTGTAGCAACAATGGGTCCTATAAAGGATGATGAGGCGTATAATAAATGGGTTTCATCATGTGTAAAGTGAAAGAAGAGTCTAGCACACACGCAACGACTTTTGATATATACAAGTGCTTGAATGCATGGAAGAACCCTGGTCAATGAAGGTAGCTTCCGCCACTAAGATACTAAGGTTTCTTTCAAGTTTTAAAACTTGAATTAACTTGATCCAAAATAATAAATAAACCAAAACAATCCTACCAATCGAGACCAAGCGATGAACAATCAAGTGGGTAAACTCAAAGTTGTGGAAATTGCCTCTCTTACTTTTCAAAATTATTATGGACCAGGACCACTAGAGTGTTCAAAGGACTTTTTACCATCACAAAGACCCCAACTAAGTAACCTGGCTTGATTCAAAGGGTCATTTTCCCCCTTACTAAAAGTTGATTGCTTTGCTTTCGTGTTTGCTGTGCCATTGAATGACTTCTATAACACTTGAGGAATCATCCTTTTACACTTTATATAGTTTACAGCATTAAGCAATCTCATGAAGAGGAATTACTTGAAAGAATATTATCAGCTTCCATGGAACCAGTTTTCTTATTAAATTTGATGATACTCATTAAAGCAAATTTTATCATCCCATATGTCACAAAGTAAAGTTTTGGTGCATAATTACTCTTATTTTCATCTTTTCCAACTTGAAAACCCAGAACAGTGGAATAAGAATATGGGATTTTAAGATTAATTGCACTAGATGTCCTCATCAACCATGACCCACACTACAAGTGTAAATACAAAGAGTATTTGATAAATTGTTCATATAATGTTCGTTTATTAAACTAAAGAAACGAGTATGAAAAAAACATTTATATTCATTTAATGAAAAATGAACATGAACATAAGTGTATTCAATTCGTTTATATTCACAAACAAGCTCGTTTGAAAAATACATTTATGTTCATTTAATGAAAAAATGAACATGAACATAAGTGTATTCAATTCGTTTATATTCACAAACAAGCTCGTTTATCAACTTGTTTACTCGGTTCTCCTATTCCTTTTATTTTTTTATATTTTAAATATTGGTGAAGATAAGGACTATGTTGACCACAAAGTGAACTTTGAAGTTTAAACCGTGAAACCTAAAATCTTAAGGACTAGTTGTGTAATTTCACCCTTTTATTTGACTTGCAAATGAAAAGAGAAAAAGAGTGCTGACTGTCGAACATTAAACAAACATTAAATGAATATATTTGTTAACGTTAAACCAACATATTTACAAACACTAAACAAATGAACACGAACATCTTCCAAAAGCAAATAAACGGAAAAAAAAACACGATACTAAAAATTTAAACGAACACAAACCGAACATGAACACCTTCAAATAAACAAACAAACATGAACGCAGCTTTGCTCGTTCAAGCTCGGTTTATTTACACCCCTAACCCAGCCCAGATTTAAAATTGGTCCTCAAACTTCAGTGGGGAATTTTAAAATCTAAAAGCATTTAGTTAAAAACTTTTTAACAGTAGTAAAGGAATAGTAAGCTTGGGAAATGATCAATTGATCTTGAACTTTCAGAATAAAAATGAAGTCAATAGCATCATAAATGCACCTTGAGGAGGTCTGATATTCTCTGATGACTTTGGGACACATACCTTTGAAGAACTAATAATAGCAAGGCCCACAATAGAAACTATTAGCAAGCCTCATTGGCTTTTCTTTGAGAACAGCGACATCGATGTTTGGTGCAGTCAGCAGATGATGATCTTCCTCTTCCTCGCTCTCTTCCATTAACGATGATCCAGCCGAACCTGATATATCATCATCTGCATTCAAGGATATCTTAAAAATATGAGAAGGCAGTCTGGTTCAGAATTTGACAAAAGTTCAATGAAAGAAACTGTAGCCCTGGAGAATAATTTCTTTTGGATCCATGGCTGTTGGTTTATCCTATCCCGAATACAGAACTTAGCACATTTTTTATTATAGCCTAAGTTAGAAAAACAGCTCCAGTGTTCTAAGGATCAAGAAAACTATGTGCATTTGAACCAATCGCAGGCCGATTAAAGACTCATCTGATTCAGCAGTGCATATTACTAAGAATAAACTTGGTGAAACTTACGAAAAAACCATAATAAAGCTTACCAGAAAATGCAGGCCGATTGGGAAGATGTCGAACTGCTGTCACTTGAATGCTTTCAGGAAGTAGACAGTTACAAAACGAACCTGAAAGTCAAATACCTCGTTGATCAGATAAAATAATTGCATGGACTACAGAATCCACAGTAAAATATCCTAGAAGTGTACAGAATCCACTGTTAAATATCCTAGAAGTGTTGGGAGCTATTCCATCCAATCTTTCAAAAATAAATTATAGACATGATATCCCCTACACAAGACAATCTAACAATGAGAAATATTTTAAAACATGCAATATGAATATGAAATCAACTGCCATTAGAAGCTATCTCGTAAGGTACTCAAATACAACACCGATTCTTTGATCAAATGCACATAAAAGTGAAAGCAGTTTTCCCACCTAGTCGAGCCAGCCTATTTACCCATCCAGGAATACATTTTCCAGTTAGCTGCATACACACGTCATCGGTGAAATGGTTGCAATTCTTAGCAATCAAATGATATGTGTCCCCATGGTATTTATCCGAAAGTTGTTCCATAAATAACCGAAATTCTGAACGAGACATGTCGGTGCTGCCCAACAATACCGAACGTCTGAAGATGAAACCAGGACAACTTCTTGGTTCAACTTCAAACACCCCACTTGTAGGGTACTCATGTGCTCCAAAGCCATATTCCATCCCATGCACTGATTAGCAGAAAGCAGGGCAAACTAAATCAATCCAACAGATTTTGAAAACAAAAAACGGGAGAATGTCAAAAGTAAACATTTTCTTTTAATACATAACAAATCATTATGTGATGGGGACTATGGACAAACTTTGCAAAACAGAGATGATAGCAAAACTAGATTAGTTAATGCCATCAAGGTAAAGATTTAAGCTACTCCAAATGGAAATCAAATGGCATAACAAATCTGTGGCCGAATCAGTCTTAAAATGAAAACCCACATTATATCCTACCATACCTGCATGTCCAAAGCTATTTATCAAATAACTTAAGTGTCAGAAACTAGAAATAGCAATCAACTTAATGCTCAAGATATCCACATCTGCAAAATAAAGTTCATAAAAGGCGAGCATAAACCCCTATTAACATAAAGGGAAAGGATGATACCTTCAATCCCAGAGTGGAATATACCAAGGCCGAACCAATAAAGGAAGTTATTTATAGCTGTGAGATCATATACATTGAGATACAACAAAGCGCGATTGTTTCCTCCATTGCTTTGCTCCTTTGTCACACTTGAATCCGATGGAAACAACCGCATTTTCCCCTTCAAAAAATAACCTAATATTCTTCAAACTTATATCACAAGCTCCTCATCCTCTGCACAATTTTTTCAAAAAAAACATATATGGTTTTTTATACCAACATGATATCAAAATTCAGGCATTATTATACTACTTAGCATAATGTCGTAAAAGTAGAAACTGAAGCAGAAAACCCCCAAAGTGTAGGAACCTCTAATGTCTTAAAAAGAACGGAAAATTAACAGATTTTGAGTCTAAAATTTTCTGGGTTTTTCTTGGAAACCCGAAGAGAAAAATGGGTAACTAAAAAATTCAAATTAAAATAGTTAAAAACAGCTACATATCACATGAAGATACAATAACTGAAAGCATAAGAAACCGAAATACGGGGGAATTGAAGCTTCGTAACATACCTGAGATGATTAAAGCGAAAGAGAGCGCTTAAACGGAACAACTTTAAGGAAGAAATCGAAGAAAGGAAGAGAGATGTTCAAGTGATTCAGTTCAGGCAACTCTCTTGATCTCTGGAGAAAGAGATAAAGAGAAGATGCTGAATCAAATGAGGTTCTTTGTGAGTGAAACTAATCCTGATGGTGGTGGGGATACAGTCTATAACTTATCTAATTCCATTTCTCACAAATATTTTGATCCACTTTTCATTCACTGTTTTAAATACTTGAGATTTAAAATCATTGTTTTGCTTGTTCTTATTTAATTGTTCTTTTCCTTGTTGATCTCCGTTTCGTCATTTTTTTCCAGATTTTAACCTTTTACTTAAAAATTTAAAAGGTAATTATCAAAGTGATCACTTTTGTTTTATATTTATTTAATTTGGTCATTAATGTTTTAAAAAATAATATTTTAATCACTTATATTATCATTTTATGATTTTTTATCACTGTAAACATTAAATGTCGTTAATCTATTGATAAATTACTAACTTGACACAATAAATAAATAAAATAAAATATCATTTTAATGTAGATTACATATAGATTGAATTAAAAAGAAATAAATATATTACTTTATTATAAAGGTGATTCTTTTTGTTTAAAACTCTATAACACTTGAAGTTTAAAAACAAAACTTTACCTGCTTTTTTTTTCTTCTTCTTTTTTCCCTTTTCCCTTCTTTATAACTGTGTCAATTTTATTGATTAATCCAGCTTTTTCCTTCTTTAATTTTGTTTAACTGACGGCGGCAACCAGTTTTGACGGCGGCACCAGTTTTGATGTTGGTTGCCGCCAGCCGGTTTTCTTTTTTCTTTTTTTCTTTTTTTAAAGTTTTTAATAAGAATAATTATGTCTTTGTGACATGTTCTCTGTCTTTATAACACGTTTATTTATGTCTTTATGTCACGTTTTTCTTTGCCTTTTAGTAGCTTACGATTTTTTGTTGTTGTTTTCATTTATCTTTTATCTCAAGGTTAGATTTGGCATCGCCACGACTGATCAAAATGGTGTTTATTTGTTATCATGATGATCTTCCCTACTTTGGACCCTTGGATTGATTTGGACACACGTTCTGTGTTCATGGATAATTTTCTCACTTCGCTTGACTTTGTTTTGCGATTTGTCAGTTGTATCGTTATTTTGTTCAAAACATTGGTTAGATTTTTTAATCTTTTCTCTTTTTTATCCTTTTGTGATCTAGGTGGCTAGTTTTTTGTAAATGGTTATAGGAAAATGTCATAATTATAATTTTTATCCTTTAGGGGGAATGGATTTAAAATTCATATTTATTAGGGTATTTAAGAAAGGAAGAAAAGGGAAAGTTGAAAAATAACTAATTCATCTTCTCTTCTTCTCTCATTCTTCCCCGTTGCTCATGCTCTCCTCCATGGCCAAATATAAGACTTCATCCAGCTAGTTTTTCCTTTAGTTTCGGTTTGGTCTTGAAACCTTAAGTAATGTGGAAGCTTAAGGAAGGGTTAAAGAGGATTTAAACTAAGATATGAATAATTTTTTGATATTGAAGAAAACGAGTTTTTGAATGTTATGTTGAAATAGTTTTTATTGAGGTTTACAAACATATTTGACTTGTCAATTAAGTAGATAAGAGATTAAAGCATTAGATGTGATTAAAAACATATATGAAAAGTGGTATGATTCTTGGTTTGGGATGTTCTTAGGAGAATTTAGATGTTATAAGAAGCCAAATAGAGGAAAGTTAGTTGGGTTAAGTGATGTTAAGTTTAAGGGTATTGTTTGAGGTAAAAGTAAGAGATTTAAACAAAATTGGGGCAAAACTCGAACTGAAAAATGGAAAATCTAGGTAAGAGTATCGGTACTGTAAGAACAATACCGATACTATAGGTTTAAAATTGGGGAAATATGATGAACAATATTGATACTAATGCAATTAGTATCGATACTGATGTGGGTATCGATACTAATGTGGGTATCGATACTAAGAGGAAGGTATCGATACCGTGGATTCCAAAATGCATAAATGGTATCGATACTGAAAGGGAGTATCGGTACCATAGTATAGAAGTATCGATACCATGGTAATGGTACCAATACTATTAAGCCTAGAATTTTAAGATAGGATGAATTTTAATAGAAATTGAAAATAATAGTTCTTTTAAGTATTATTAAAAGAATAAATGTTAGAAAAATAACTAAATTGTATGGTATGTGTAATAATGGATGATTGTGTAGATCATAACCAAGCTCCAGAGTCAAGCAAGAAAAAGGGCAAAGATAAAGTTGCCGAATAGTTGGGCATATCAGGTGAGTGCATTTAATGTATGTTTTACAATATTTGAGATATTCGTATAATGTGTATGGAAATGATACTATGAATAAGTTTTAGAGTATTAATTGCTCTAAAATGAACTAATGAAAGTTAAATGCATAACGGTGCATTTCAGCATAAAAGGTACCACTAATGAAAGTTAAATGCATAACGGTGCATTTCAGCATAAAAGGTGACACTAATGAAAGTTAAATGCATAACGGTGCATTTCGACATAAAAGGTGCCACTAATGAAAGTTAAATGCATAACGGTACATTTCGGCATAAAAGGTGCCACTAATGAAAGTTAAATGCATAACGGTGCATTTCGACATAAAAGGTGCCACTAATGAAAGTTAAATGCATAACGGTACATTTCGACATAAAAGGTAATGGTAATTCTTGAAAGTCTTCACTACTCGGATTCAGAAAAGTTGGGTGGAGATATATCTTTACTTCGGGGATCAACTAGAGTATAGTGGTCAAATACTACGATGTATGCACCACCGGAGCAAGTGACCTGGCAGTTTTTCTAGGAGGAATTCAAGAAAAAGTATGTGGGTGAGTAGTTTAGACGTGCGATGTTGCTAAAGTTCCTTAATTTGAAATAATGTGAACGAGCAGTACATGAGTACGAGGATGGGTACAATAAGCTGAGCCGATTTTCTATTGAGGTAGTTCCCAATGACAAGGCTCGATGTGATTGTTTTATTGAAGGTTTGAGGCCAAAGTTGAAAGAGATGATGTTGGCTTTTAACTTGCCTAGTTTGCAAGAAGTCATAAATCAAGCCAAGGCTATTTAAAGAGCTCAAGAAGAGACCCTAGAAGCATAGTAGAGTATGCAGACGGTGAAAAAAGTTTGGAACGCCTTCAACTCCACATCATTCTAAGAGAGGCAAGGGATCAAGCTCCAGATATACTGATAGAGATGGTTCTACTACAACTTTATAGAAAACTAAACAATCCCAATCTTTTGCTGCTAGCTCGGGTAAAGCATTTAGAGAGAGAACTCCATGTCAGACATGTGGTATATTGCTCCATAGAATATGCAGATTTCTCAGTAGAGCTTGTTTCTAGTGTGGTGAGACTGGTCACTTTGTTCAAAACTGTCCTTAGAAATTCAGGGATAATTCAGTGCAATCTGAGAGATCTGTGATAACTTCTAATAGAATCAGAGAAAGAGGTAGATCCAAAGGATAATCTGAATCAATGTCGTGATAAGAGACTCGGGGAGTCGCTAGAATTTACAATATTAAGACCAATGAGGATCGGGATAACCTAGAGATCATCACAGGTACATTCAATCTTTTTGATGAACATGTGTTTATTTTAGTTGACCCCGATTCTACACACTCATACATTAGTACAAAGTTGGTTAGAGCTAGAGGAATTCCTTTAGAACCAATTGTTAGTGAGATGATAGCGGTAAATCCTATGGGTCACAGTGCGAGAGTAACTCGGGTATGTAGAAAATGGCCGAAAAAGATTCAAGGGATGATGTTCCTGACAAACTTAATGGAGTTGTCTTTCAATGAGTTTGAAATTATTTTGGGCATTGATTGGTTGTCTCCACATCAGGGATAGGTTGATTGTCGCAAGAAGTGATTATTTTTTAAGGATGCGGAAGGCTTCGAATTAGTAGTAATCGGCGAAAAAGCGAAATCACCATCCAATGTGATATCATCCATGACTACAAAGAAAATGATGGTAAAAAGGTGTATAGCTTTCCTAGCTAACGTGATAGACACTCGAGTAGCGGAAGTGAGAGTAGATGATATTCCCACGGTTAGGGAGTTTTCTGATGTTTTTCCTGAGGAGTTACCGTGATTACCTCCAGACTGTGAGGTGGAATTTTAGATTGAGGTTTACCCGGGTATCGAACATGTTTTTATGGCTCCATATCAATTGGATCCAACAGAGTTAAGAGAATTAAAAGCCCAATTACAAGAGCTACTCGATAAGGGATTTGTGAAACCCAATATTTCTCCTTGGGAGCACCTATGCTTTTTGTGAAAAAGAAGGACGGGTCTATGTGATTATGCATCGACTACCGCCAGTTAAATAAAGTAACGATAAAGAATAAATATCCTCTTCCAAGGATTGATGATCTGTTTGATCAAATTAAAGGCACATTAGTGTTCTCTAAGATAGACCTGAGGTCGGGTACCACTAATTAAAGATAAAAGAGGATGACATTTCAAAGACAACTTTTCGGACTCGGTATGAACACTACGAATTTGTGGTGATGCCATTTGGATTGACTAATGCTCCTGCAACATTTATGGACTTGATGAATCGAGTATTCCAACCTTACTTGGATCAATTCGTGGTGGTCTTTATAGATAATATTTTTGTGTATTCCAAGTCAAGAGAGGAATATAATGCTCATCTTCGATTGTTTCTTCAGACACTTCGAGAGAAGAAGTTGTATGCCAAATTGTCCAAGTGCGAAATTTTGGTTAGCTGAGATTGCTTTCCTTCATCATATAGTCTCCGCAGAAGGCATAAGAGTAGATCCCAAAAAGATTCAACCTATAATGGATTGGCAACCCCCAAAGAATATTTCTGAAGTTCAGAGTTTCTTGGAGCTTGCTGGTTATTATAGACGGTTTATGAAGAACTTCTCAATGTTAGCTTCGCCTCTAACTAAGTTGTTACGGAAATATGTGCCTTTTGTTTAGTCAGAGAAATGCCAATAAAGTTTTGAAATGTTAAAGAGAATTGTAACAGAGGCCCCAATGTTCATATAACCTGAGTCGGACAAAGACTATGTAGTCTTTAGTGATGCATCTGACAATGGGTTGGGATGTGTGCTTATGCAAGATGGAAAA